TATGATTCATTTAATGCTATGCAATGGGAAAAATACCTCAAAACCACTCATTCTTTTTTTCCCCTCGCTCTCTGTCGGCTTTACACTACACGCAGGCTCGTTGCCATAACAACTGTCAACAACGCAACTTCATGTATCAGGATTCAGCACCAAATACACTCAAACATTAACCTACATTAGAGCAGAACATTCAGTTCCTTACAGTTTTATGCTTTTAAACTTGTGTATTTTGCGATTATTAATAAGTGATCACTGTGGTTGATTAGCCACCGCCGCTAATAGCCACACTAACACAATCATTGTTGATTAGCTAATTTAAACACCTGCTCTACTGATGCTCTGTCAGTTTGTGTGTAGGTCACCTTTTTATTTCTAAGCTGAACAAAAACAGCTTAATTTCACAGCACATATATTGGTTAAGTGTTAAAGTCAAGCATAACTGACCTACTTCCCTCTCCCTTGCTATTTTTTTTTAATTAAAACTTTCTGACCTTGTTATCTAGTCTTAGTGTAGACGGTTCATACCAAAACACTGCATACTTCTTATTTCATATATGAGCTTACTTTCAGTCTAGCAAGGAAACGGGGGCAGTAACATGCATGGTGACATCATGCTGCAAGGAGTCTATAATTTAAAAAATTATAAGTAGCAAAAATATATTGTGATATTAGATTTTCCTCATATCGCCCAGCCCTAGTTCAGAGATGAGGTGGAAAACCACTGCAAACCAAATAAGACGGGATGAAGGGTAGGAATAAAGTTTAGGAGTTCACTCCCTAAGTTTAAACACTTACAGCAGAATGAAGTGACTTGGTAAATTTAAGGGCTATTACTTAATTTCATTGTTCATATGTAGTTAGTGAGGCGACAGTCAGTGGGTTTTTTTTCCACTGTGGTGAGGCAGGTCTTGGTGTCAATCACCTCGACATTTCTCATGACACACTGTCACAACATGGTGACAATTTTAGGAAATATGTAAAAAATAAAATAAAATTCTGAATGGCGTTAAAGCTACATACAATGCCATTCTGAACAGATACGCTCAGACAATTTTTGGACCCAAGTAAACCGGTTATTACAGACTTTTTTTTTTTTTTGTACCTCACATATGAAGATGAGAGGTGAAATATCTAAATCAAGACAATAAAATCTCCAGATATTCAAACCGAATGTCTGGACTTTATTTATTATTAAAGGGATGGGCCTATTGTGACCTATGTATGTGGTGTACTTGGTAGAAGCTGCCAGTTATAGTCATAGGAATGAACCGTTACCTTTTTTGAGGTCTTCTTAATGGCTCTGGAAGCTTTGCTTAGTGTGCTGTCCATATCCTTAGTGGTGACCTGCAGTGAGTCTGGCTCTGTGCACTGAATCAGATCCTCCTGGTTACAAGACAAAAATGAACACAACTTTAAACTCAATCTGATCAGTCTGAACCTGGAGAGTGTGATCAGTGGAGATGGCTACAGCAGAACCAACATGAAGAGACAGAGCAGCAAAAGGATGCAAGGCAGAGCTCTCATCCAGAGGGAAATTTGTCTCTGCAGAAGCTTTTTAACCAGAAAAGCTCTGTCTTGTTGGTATTCACACTGCACGCTGACCCAGTGAAAAAGAATTAGGAATGCAGTTGTGGGGTGACACAACGAATGGAGGACAACAACGCCCCCTGCTGCCTGCTCTCCTAAGTGCAGCAGCTTGGTTTCATTTACCAGAGTCAGAATGCGTCATGTTTCAGTGGCAGAAAGAAAACAACAAAACTGAACAATTAGCGCAACAAAAACATAGCCAGTCCGGTCCTCTGGATTATAATTTACACAAAAATCATTTATTCATATAATCAGATGGCCTCAATGCAACAGCTGTTGAGTTGTTTCTATGACAATTCAAACAGTATTCAAAAGACTACATCCAGTTTAAGGAATGGAGTATTTCTATTGATGCAACTGGAAAAAATAAAATAAAATGTTGCTGTTTTGTTAGCTCCCAGACTCATGATCTTATCTCACACATATAAGGAACCAAAGAGTTTCCTGATAATCATCGCCCGTCAATGTTTACAGACAGTTCACCCTGTATAACAAAAATCAACACACTAAATGCCACAAGAATGTTCTTCTGCTCCTTCTTGTGTCTGAACAGGCTGCAGCTGAACCTGCAGACTGCTTTGCAGTGAAATAGTAGAGCTAAATCTGTGGAAATCTGCAGTTGACCTTGAACATTTCTTCATCCACAACTATCAAGACGGGCTCTAAAATACTTTCTCCTCCAGTTTGACATTAGGGTGAAAGAAAAAACATGACATCAATTTGATTGTGAGGAAAACTTTTTCACTTTGAAGTGTGGAAAAACAAGTTGGTGAGGATGAGTTATTACAGCTCCGCTCTCGTCTCTGTGTCTGAGTTTTTCCCTTCTTTTAATTTGTGTGCGTGTGTGAGAGTGTGCTTTCGTGGGGGTGACATCTCACCGCATCAGCTCTGCAGATGGTGTTGGCAACATGACGACACAGAGTACGCAGCCAGTCACGTTTAACCATTTCCTCTCCGACCAGCTGGAAGCTGAACAACAAGTTCTCCTGTTCAGTGGGGGGACGGACCACCAGGGCAAATGCATTTACACATTCTGAGGAAGAGGAGGAGAGGCAAACAGGAGTAAGGAACATTCACACCGATACAGACGCATGACAGAGTTTAGAATTACAAGGAATAAAAGGACAGTACAAATATACCAGTTAAAAAAAAGAATATGACAAAAGTGTAAACAAGATGCACACTGATGATATCATGGGAGAAGAGCAAAAGCATTGATATGTTAAAATGCTAAGAAACTCTCCGAACTGGGTAGATATATAAGTTAGGATTAATTTAAAGTGAAAACAAAGATCCCAGTTTGTAAGTGCCAGACAACAAAATAAAGAACTGAGATTACCGCTGGGTATCTGAAGATGTACTATCATTTGCAGACTATTGAGCACACCTGAAAATAAGCTACACCCAAAAACTTTGAAAAGAAAAAGATAGTTGTTTGGGTTTCCCCCCCAGTGTATTATAAGCCTGGCGGACAGCCATGTTTTTCTAGGCCCCCGGCCAAGCTAAGCATCGCTTGTTTTAATTTTTAGAAAAATTAATAATTGAAAAAATAAAAATAAAAACACTTAGTTTTTTTGTTTATTTTGATAAATATTTAAGCCGGATTACAAGCGTCTCCGTTCTGAGCCTTTCACTTGCGGAGAAGATTTATTTAATCACACACCTAGCGCCTCTGCTGCTTTATTAAGTTTTCCTCAGGGCGGATCCCGCGCGCCTCCTTTCAGAACTGGACACAGGCTGACCCTGTATGGATATATTTACATCAACCCAGTGTGGGTAGTTATTTTTCTTCGGAGAACTCTATATCAAGGTAAGAGTTTAGAACGAACCGCGTTAGCTCTGGTTGCGCAGCTCTATGTGAACCGCAGGAATAACTTGTAGTCGCGTGTCTATTTGCAGTCATTTGCGCATTAAGCGAGTGGTGAGAATGATTTATCTTTGTAATGTGGACAGAATTATGTACGGCATTGACATCACGCTGCTCAGCGTGTGGCTCTGTCTTCCCTGTAAAGTTTATGTCTATGGTCCCGGTTCGCCGGAGCGTTAGTGGTTAACGAACCAGCGCTAATCTTACCATGCAGGTTCAGCCCGGTGAGGAGCTTTCGCGCTCGCCTCGTAGTCACGCATCACGCTGGTTTAATATTATTATTATTTTTACGGTTAAACGGTGCACCAAACCATATCAAATGCTTTGTCTATTTAGTCAGCCAGAGTTAATGCGCGCGGCGGCAGGGAGATCTAAAAAACTCGTCCCTCAAACTTGAGCAGCCAGAACAGTTTCTATGATTCTTATTAAAAACTCAGACACGAAATGGACGATTTACTAAAGCCACATTAGTAGCATTGAATTAAATCTTCCGTTTGTTGTGCATCGCTGCGCAATTAACTCATCATGCAGGGCCAGTCCAAGGCTATATGAGGTTTGAGCAGAACTTAACTTAGGGGCCCCACCTGCTGCTAAAAACATCAGCACCTCTAACAGCTTCTGTGTTAGATTTAGTGAAATCTAGGAGAAGGGGAGTAGTTTAATTGGCCAACCTAAAAAGCAATAAATTATAATTACAGTTTACTAATTTGTATTTTTGAACAAACCGAGCTCAAACTCAAAGTTTAAAGTCACAGCATCAGATTGTTGCTGTGATAACAAACCAATCTAACTCTGAATATTGTTCTTTGAACTTTTACAGCTCCTTAAAATCTTAAATTTAAATGTTAACCAATGTAAATCTTAATATATGTATGCTGAAACCATTAAATCAAATTCAGCAGCATTGATAATTTCAATAAACAAATGCTACATTTATATATCTGTGATCTATGTTAAAATATCAGCATTTATAGGGCCCCTGAAGTCCTGGGGGGCCTGATGGAGCCGCTGACTTAATTTGGTTTAAACAGAAGTGCAAATAATTGATATTCATTTTAACTGTATTTTTTGATTTGTTGTTTTTAAGACTAGTTGTGGATTTAAATAGCGCTTCACAAGTAATGTTTTCCCGTAACATATAAATACCAAGTAATATTTTTACTTTTCCTGTCTACTCAACACCTTTAATACAAAAACACAATATATATAAACACACACACACACACACACACACACACACACACACACACACACACACACAGGGGCGCCCCCTGGAATCTTGAGCCACATGACAAAGAAAATTTACTTGGGTCCCCCCCGCGCAGCTGCTGTTACAATTTGGAGTCTATCTGACCCATCAAAACGTCACAATTTTAAAGTCTTGCAACTGCTTGCTTTCTTCGGTCCAATACTGATACTAGCACAATATTTACTGCTCATGAATTTTACATGCAACAGTCCAAATACTGCATGCAAATAGGTTGCTTAAATTTTTTCTATTAGTTTTAGATTACTGAAATGTCTCTCCCCACGAGCAACAGTCATAGGCAACATGCAAAATATACATGAAGCAATCCAGACTTCTCAAAAAAAATGCTACATAGTTGCATTTTATTCAAGCTGCAGTAGATAACTTTAATAAAAAAAATGTTTTCTCCATATTTGTTAAAGCTGTCACCTTGTCGTGCCAGTTTGTTATGAGACAGATAATCTGTGAAAACAATCAATCTCCTCCACCTGCTCCCTGAGCTACTATTACTGACTAAAGCCACAGTCGTTCTTGTCATCTACTGACTGCTGCTCAACACTGTCACCGTCAAGCACTCCAAGCAAGAACAAACCTCTTCATGCAGATCCTATGGGTGTTCAGGGTAAAGATTTTTTGGTCTGGGAGGGGTAACATTTCATTTTTACTGCTAAAAACAATTTTAGAAAACACTATATAATTAAGTTTGTAATTGACAGGGCCCCTTTTTTTTAAATTTCTATGAACAAAAAAAAAAAAATTGTGGAGGGCCCCGTTGGTCAGGGGCCCTTGGAATTGTCATAACTGTCCCCCTTGTACGGCAACCCTGTATGTATATGTATATATAAATATGTATAGGAGGTGTCTCTCACTCCTGAATCAGCACAGCCTCTCAACTCGTCTTGTCCTTTCCGCTGACCTGTGTTAATTAACACACAGTTCCTGTGACCGCACTGACAGACTGGACACACATGGGCTACTAAGGGTCAAACAGCTGTTATTTTTTACATATTTATTTATTTACATATATATATCTCGATGGCTACCTCCATTTTACACAGTTGCATTACAGCCTGACTATGTGCGCAATGGAAACTAATGGAGTGGCCTAGCAGTCCAAAGACTAATTGCATCTTTAGAGTTGGATCTATGCATGTTCACATGAGGGGTTAATGCTTAATGTGGGTCACCTTCAGTGTCGTGCAGATCCAGCACTCTGCGAATCTGCGACAGCGGCATGAGAGCGATGTGCTTCAGCGGAGGGGGAGGCCTGGTCTGCCCCACTGGACTTTTAAAAGTATTGATCACTTTGTGACGCTTCCTGGCAATCTGCAGACACGCAGTTTCACAAACATAACAAGACAGCAATGCGAGAGAAAGAAAAACAGAGCCAATTTCAAAGTTCCAACCTGTGTGTGTGGGTGCAGCTAGGAGTGTGTGAAAAGCTGCAGAGGTTTACTTAATAAATCAATGACCCTTTCATGGAGGTAAATGACGCGAGTCATTACTGTCACATTAATTATGTGGCCAGAGCGAAGACAGGGAGGACAAAAATCAAAACACATTACAGGTTGAGATGAAATCAACAGTTGCTGATGATTGAGGGGAGAAGCGAGACCACCCTCTGTGAGAGCAGCCGGTCTACATGCAGGCTGTGTGAAACAGCCCGTCAGAACGCACATGCAGGGCTCTGGCTGATTAGGAGGTGTCTCTCACTCCTGAATCAGCACAACCTCTCAACTTGACTTGTCCTTTCTGCTAACCTGTGTTAATTACGACACAGTTCCTGTGACCACACTGACAGACTGGACACACATGGGCTACTAAGGGTCAAACAGCTGTTATACAACTGCTGTTATCTGAGCAAATAGACAAACAAATCAGAACCAGGAGGAGGGACTTAGCGTTGCCAATCACCCTGGTGACCCTCACATTGCCCCCCCTTGCTTTCTGCTGCTGTACAGCAGGTTCGCCAAAGCAGAGTCTCCTTAGCTATGAATGCTAAGGCTAGTCAGCAGGGACACCAATGATAAAATGGTTTTCTGGAACAGTAAGTTGTTATTCTGCCATTAGCACATTGAGCAGCAGTTTAATAAATATGAAAAGGAAAAAAAATAAATAAAATCTCATTGGTTTGATCCTACAGCTGTCACTTTTTGTTTCCGCTCATTAATTTTGTGTCATGTTGAAAGAAACAGCTGAAAAAATCCTTCAAAACCCTTTACAGACAGATGAGTAGGGCTAAAACATTGGTCAGATATGACAACATAATGATAATGAAGTTCAGATTCATGAGTCATCACCTCCAGGCAGTCATTAAAGAGAAAGAGTGTGACGTGTTCGCCGCGGTCACATGGCTCGTCTCCCAGAGCAATGGTTTCCACTCGATGCACCAGGCTGCGATGGGACGACAGCAGGTTGGCCTGAGAACAGAACGGCAACAACAGGAACAAGTTATGTGAGCTGTGACATACAGCTCACTGCTGCCCACTGCTAGATGCTTTACCCCTCCTGTTATATTGCGAGTCAAATTGACCCGTTTTATAGTTTAAAAAATAGTTGGAAGTATTTTTTCTACGTGAAACTTTTTCTATTTGTCTTAATAGGTACACTATACATGTAAATTGAAAATAGTTCATTCTAGACATTTGCAACCTGTTGGATTTTGACCCGGGAGTCACGTTGAAGGGTAAAAAAGGTAAAAAAATGTCCAATTCTATACGTTTCCTTGCAACTATGAACCATATTTCACCACATATACATGCATATGTGCACACACACAAGCCCACTTTCTCACTATTCTCTTTACTTCACTAGGAAACTGCAAAAAAGCAGGTGTTCATACAACTTTTGATGGGAACCTTTTTTGTTCCCTTGGGGCAAACTCCACCCACACTGAGTGGACACTCAGCAGAAGTGGGGGGAAACATAAATACTCTCTGCATGACTTATTTGTCCTGATTTTAATCAGCGGGTCAATTTGACCCAGAACAGTATACGTGTCTCAAGTTCAATTATAAAGATCATCCCTTGAAAAAAGATTAAAATTGTAATATCAAATTTTTTTTAATGAAAGATCATTTTCAAAGATAATTGTTTTTTGTGTGTAGGGTTTTTCAGTGGACATAAAAAAAATTAAATTACATTTTTTATGTCCAAATGAGTAAACTGTTGTCATTGATCCTTCATTTGTGAGAAATTAAAAAAAAAAAAAACATAATTGTACAAATATTGATTGAAATGGTTAGTATTGGAATTAATAATCAGATGCAAAAATGTTTTGGAGGATTTTTTTGGTTTCTGACACTATTGCATAATTAAAGGCTCCACGGGTCAAACTGACCCAGGAACATTATTGCTGTACCTCAGAAACGAACATAACAGGAGGGTTAACAGACAACTAGACGGCTAAATTACTGTATGATAGAAAACATGCCAACAGCAGCAATCTGCAAACTTACAGGACATCCATCAACTTCATAGACAACATCAAAGATTTGTTTCTGGCCTTCAGTCTTCCTCTTGTCCTCATTGATGTGTCTGCAGAATTGAGAGAGGTAAAAAGGAGACCACCAGTCAAAAACTAGACAAAACAATCACTTTCTATTTTAAACAGATTTGCATTCCAATTTTTCATTTTGCAAAGGTGCTACCATCCAGTAAAGACATCTGGAACCAGACGTCTAACTCTGAACCCTCTTCGTGGGACAACTTCCACTCATGCACTTTGTGCTTGGAAACCAGACTGCAGGTGTGAATCCAGTTATGTACCCATGTGAAATAAAAAAGCAGGGGAACTCTGTTTTGTGCATGTTTACTGAAAATATAAAACATTTGCAGTACATTTTGTTCCTGTAAACAGGATATGTCGCCGTGGATACATTGTGACACCTTTTAAACAGAAAAGAACTGACTATTTAATTCTGATTCTAAAACTGATTATTTAAGCTTGGAAAAAAGTTTTTATTTGTAAAACATAATTACAAATAAAGGTCTGTTTACAGATATGAAGCAAAAAAAAACAAAAACTAAGCGAGTTTCCACTTGCAAGTATGAATTATGACAAGATGTTTCTTCCTCTCAGCTGATTGGTCAGTTTAACAACCCAATCAGAACAGATTGGATGTGGCTGTCAGGAAGACAAGAAGGAACTTTTTATATCTGCACCTCTGGAAATTACAGAGTATAATATCCTAACATGATTTTCAAAAATCCTGCTTTGTCTTCTAAATGTTCTTCGCTTTTCGCACCACTTTTGGTACCAGGAATTATATATTTTCTCTCCAAAATTAAAATAACCTGATAGAAGTTGATAATAGCTATAAAATGTATACCAAGTAATTTTTGTTTAGTTGAAAATAAAAATATTAAATTAAAATAAATCTAGAAAACACCATGACATTACAACTGCAGCCTGCAGTCATGACATCATGCTTCTTTACAGTGTTTTATAACCACAACCTCATGGAGCATTGATCTGCAGAGAAACAGATAGAGTGATAAAAACAAACTTAGATATTGGCAAATGTCTTATTTGATCCTTTTCATGAGATCATTTTCTTTTTGTTTTATTAAATAGAATTTGACCAGAACTTCACAGAAATAAAATTTATACTAGAAAACAACTCCTAGGCTCCTGGAAGATATATATTATTACCTTAAAGTCCAAGAAGTATCTACTAATCATCAGCAGATGACTTCTAATCTTATTGGTCTAAATTATTTCAAAAACAGATGAAACGGCTGAAAAAAGTTTAGCACACAAAATAGTAAAAGGTCAGTCGTTTCAACTCACGTCATCACTTCCTTTAGGGACTCTATTGCTCTTTCCAGAGTTATCTTGTCTGGGTTGTCATCTGATGTGTGTTTCTTTATGTCTACAATCAGGATGAAAAGGGAAAGTTTGATGACAGGTGTGCAGGAGGAGACGGAACATCACAGCGACAGAGAGCATCCTCGGAGGAACAGACAAAGTCAGCAGAGAGAACAGGCTGATGGCAGGTGTGGAAGGAGACAAATCCAGAAATTAAACGATAAGCATGGAGATCAGAGGGAAATATTTATAGTGTGTGTGTTACCACTGAGGAGGAGGGCCACACTTGGCAGTCTCTGCACTGGTCTGATGAGCAGCTCTGCAAGTGTCTGCCTGCCGCACTCTGGCTTGGCCTGGTTGATCTGTTGGTTCAACAAGTTTTTAAATCAAGCTTCAATTAGGAAGACATGAGGAAAGCAGAGGAATCAAGTCAGCTTTTTACAGAAAAGACTGAACCTGATGCCTAATCCAGTCACCACAGGATCAAGTTACTTTCAGGACAATAGGAAATGGTATCATTATCTTGGATAACTGTTACAAGAGTAAGTTACCTTCATGAAGAAATTGAAAACTTTAAATGAAGAAATGCACTGTGATGTGCAGCAACAGCCTTCTGCCGTGTTCTGTGTGATTCAGCCAGTCAGTCTCCTGTTTTATCTGAACTATTTCAATTACAGAGGGAAACCAGCAGAGAGCCAAGGAACCCAGATCTGAACATGAAGACTAAGAGCAGGACATGCTCCCTCATCTCCAGAAGCACACAGCATTTAAAGACAAACGTCCTCAAAGCAACAGAAACATTTTCTCATTTAGTGGACCTGAACACAACAGGACTAAACCAAGTGAACAGACTCACCTTGAGGAAAGCATGGAAACGGGCCTTCTGTTTTTCACATCGAACAATGGTTTCTTTGCTCATCTCAAAGAAGTTTACAAATGGGGGATAGGCCTTCACCAACTCTTTAGACTGAGCAAAGAAAAATTATAAACAAGTATACATTAAAAAAACCCTCCTAGTACAGATTTATTGTGTCATAAACAACCAAATACCACTAGAAATATGTCAATATTTAGGTAAAAACATCATCTTACTATTAAAAATCTAAACTCACGTATTTGAGAATGATGTCTCCAACACTTCTGCCTTCTGACCAGTCTGTGAGGAGCTCCTCAAGGTCATTCTGGAGAGCAAATATTTCATCAAACATTCAGAAATTCCACAATCACCCAGGAGACAGAAAATCTGGTTGACAATCAAAAACTACCTTTATTCTGGTGTGAACCTCATAGATTTCTGGGATGCTGCCAAAGATGGTCTTAATTTCCTCCTGGGCCAAGATGGGCCCACCGACCTGGCCCTCTTTTTCTAATGGATGCTTGAAAAGCTGCAGAGATTATCAGAGAGAAGAGCATGTTTACAGCTGGGAGAAAGATCCAACTCCCCTTCTTCTGTGTTTCACATCATTCTACTGATTTTAACATTTAAGACAACCTGGACAAACTCGCTGACAGATCTGCCCACCAGCTCGCATCTGCATGTATAATGTTCACCCCACTGTTGACAAATTAGCAACTTTTTCACTATATTTAGCGACCTTCCAGAAAATAAATCAGTCATCAGGCTTTTAAAAGATTGATGAACAGCCAGGAGAATCACACAGAATGAGAAGCAAAACTTCTGTTATGGGATTTTGTCTGCACTTGACTTAAAGATTAGAGGTGAAATGTTCATTCAATGGTGCATTTTTTCATAAACACAAATCACCCCTTGTTAAAATTATACATTTATTATAAATAGTACATATAAAAATTTACTTTAGTAAAGCAGAGCTCTGAGCTTTGTAAGCCTTTTCAGACTAATGGATTGAAACATGAGGTTGTTTTGACATCTTTCAGTTTAACTGATGTTGGAGTTCATTATGATAAATAAACTGAACATTCCTGGTAGGCAACCTGGAATTAAGTGTTAGCTTCCTGGAAGCTGGAATCGAACCTGCAACCTTCCAACATGGAATCTGCAGTAGAGTACTGTCCTCTGGTTATCTTAATCTGTTATTAATATTTAACTAATTATCTGAAAAATAATTTATGTGGGTTGAATAAAAATAACTGCAAGATACAATAATATTTGAAGGGAGAACTAAACTTTGCATCATGTACAAAATAATCAGGGATGAAGCTGAATTATTTCTCAAAAACATGAACAAAAACATAAGCAGTTTTTTTTTTTTTTTTAAGGATTCAGAGGAGAAAGGATCAGAGTCGTGTTCTTCTTCACTGGGTTGTCTGATGAGTACCATCCCCCCACCCTCCAGCTGGTAGCCAGTGTGTGAAGAAGAGTTGGAGCTGCTAACAGAGAACACCCACCTGCAGGACGGTGTTTAAGATGTCTACATAGTTGCTTTCGGTCTGATAGAGCTCCTTGGAGACCTGCCACCTGGCTGACTGCTTGGAAACCACCGGAGTTGAACTTTTAGAAGGTTTTGAACTCTCTGGAGGAAGACAGAATGGTTTTTTAACAGGACAAGACTTCCAGATGTCTTGTACACCCTTTTTAATTAACATAACTTCCAGGTTCCGCTTTAAACCTTGTAATATGAAAAGAATGATGGAGTGTTCATATAGCCAGGGAGATGCAGGAGAATCACTTTGGTGTTGACCGTTTCAGGACTCATTCAGCTTCTAACATAATACTCAGTAAAATCATGATGTATTTGATACTGATCAACAAGATAACCTGCTATTTTTGATAAATGTTTCGGATTTTTCTTTTAACTTGTTAATTTGCCCCTTTTATTCCTAATTTGTGTCATTTCATACTTTGTATGAATCTGCATGTTTTCATGTGTTTGCCACTTTGCCACCAATAACTCATAATTTCTCCACTGAGAACATATAAAAGATATTTCTATTAAAAAATGTAGTTATATCAGTGAGTATTGTAAGTTCAGTTTTCATTAATCAGTTTTTTTTTTTCTTTTTCTAAAACTGATTTAAACTGAATGTCACTGAGAAGGTGACCCAATGATACCTGCTTCATTCTAAGGGCTGAGGTTATCCTAAATCATCTTCGTAGTTATGCTGCTACAGGCTCAGGGTGCTTTCTTCTTCTTCCACTCTCCAGTTTGCATTGTTTGCTGTTACTTCAAATGTTAACTTTATGTTTTCCCTCAGTTATTTTTCTCTCCATGGAAGATACATCTGTCTGGCATTCCGTTTCGCTGTGATTCCTTCCTGGAGAAGGACATCGGCTGAGATAATGCTGCATCAATCAACGGTACTTCCTCTCCTGCTTTAATGTTTTACTCATCGTTAACACTCAAAGTAATCCTACATTAGTTCATCTGTTTCTTTTTGTTTTTCTGCTCTGTCTTCTCAAACCTCCAGTTGGCCATGGCAGATGGCCACTTGTCTTGAGCTAGGTTCTGGTTCTGCTGGAGGTTTCTTCCTGTTAAAGGGGAGGTTTTCCTCTCCATTGTCACTACATGCATGCTTGTATGAAGGATTGTTGTACAGCAACAGTGATTATCTGCTGTTGTCACATGCTCGTCATACTGATTAATAACCAGGATTAATTGATATGAATGTGTGGTTGAACTTACATGACTTTTTGTAAAGTGTCTGATGACAATATTTGATCCCAATTGCTATGAAAATAAACTGAACTTAATACAAACACAGGTTCAGTCAAGAACTTTGTGGAAGTTGGATATTTAGTGGGGCTGCACAGTGGCGCAGTTGGTAGCACTGTTGCTACAAACCCCATTTGTTTTCTGGATAGTGATCTCTAAACGTGCCGTCACACATGGCTGTTGGCTCATCACAGACCGAACCTGAAAACAGAAGCTAACCTGCACACGTTCCTTGCAGCTGATCTTCAGAGGTTTGCTGACCAGCACTCCTGTGGGACCTTTCTCTCCTCTTTTCCCTGCCTGACCTAGACCTCCTTTCTCTGGTTTTCCTTCTTCTTATCCTAGCCCTGGTCACAGTACTGTCCTCTAATCTGTCTTCTGGAATAAAGATGGGTAGGTATGATTCTCTCATGACAGTGAAAAAATGTGTAGAGCTGTCTGAGTTATTTCATATTCTTCTCTGGGTGAGGAAAAGGAGCAGATTGGTGTCGTTCTCACCTCCTAATGCCTTGCAGGTTTCAGGGGTGTTGGAGATGTCCACCAGAGAGCCAATAGACAGGGAGTGCTCTGCTGACGGCCTTTTACGTGGTGGTGGAAAGGGGGAGATCTCCGTTTCCTTGGTGAGCTGAGCAAGGGTGTCCCTGAGACGCCGGCGCTTGCGATTGGAAGTGGGAGTGGTGAGAGATAGCAGGGACACGGCTTTCTTCATCGTGGGACTGTCGTTCTGCAGTACAGATCAGCAACTGGTTTGTCTACATCTGGTCATGCACTTATATTGTGGCTACAAGTTCTTTTCTACTGTGTGTGAGAGGTTAAACATACTCACCTTTTCATACAGGTACATGGACTCTCCAGCTCGAGCGTCCATCTGAATGCTTCCCCAGAACCACTTCAGCACAGAAATGGCCATTAACAATGTAGACATGAACAACCAGACCACAGTCCTCAGTCGATTACAAACAGGAAAGATGAACAGTTTGCACTAATGTGGTTTAACAACAGGATCCTGATAAGGTTTTAGTGAAGAAAAGAAGTTAATAAAGCTTTTTTTAAATATATGATAGAATCTTAAGGGACTTGGCAGAGGACTAGACATGGACAGATCTGGACTCTGTCCTGTTACTGAAAAATGTTTATAATGGGAATTGGAGACAATGTGCCCAATCCAGGCGCAGATCTATTCAGTCTAATTCTATGCTTTGTGCTCTGTACAACATCATGCTTATGTAGTTATTATATTTAGAATTCCTAATACCACTTCAAGAACCAGTTGAAAGGTTTGTTGCATTTTATTTTTACATATTTGACTGAGGTAGCCAGCCTAGTTTCAGTTTCTGTATTTGACACTGACTGTTTATACTCCTAATTGCCCTTACAAAACAAATGAAAGTCATATTTTTACGTTTGACCAAGCTTGTGAATCTGTTGGTGTACTTAAGTGTACTATACTGGTGCAGCAATATCAAATAAATTTGTAATTCAGTACATTAATGTTTGGGTTTAGAAAAAGAAAGTCAATTCAGCTCTAGTTTTCTGAATGAGAGTACATTGGCCAATACTAAACCTCAGACATCAGTATTTGAAGTGAAAACAGTGAACTGGTGCATCCCTACAAAGAACCTGGTTTTGTATTATCTCCCTCAGTCGGTTTTCCCCTTTATGTATTTTTGTTAATTGTGGAGATGAAAAGTCAAAAATGATAAAATCTCATGTATAAATGTAACAAATTGTTTTCAGGAGCTGAAATAGGCTGGCGACCTGTCCAAGGTGACCCTGCCTCTCACCCACTAACTGCTGAAGATAGGCACCAGCACTGTTCTTGCCCCCACAGGATAAGTGTGTAAGATAATGCAGGGTTTACCCCAGTGTATTATAAGCCTGGCGGCCCGCCATGCTTTACTAGCCCTCCCGCCAAGCTAAGAGGGGGGGGGGTGTTTTAATTATTTTTAGGAAAATAATAATAAAAAATAAAAAAATCTCTTATTTATTTTTTTAAGCTGAATTGCAAGGGTCTCTGTTGCTCTGAGCATTTCACTGGCGGAGCAGTTTTATTCCTAAAGTATAGGTTATAATAGTCAGAACACCTGCCGCTGCTTTACCTAACTTTACCTAAGTGTAATCGCGCACACCTCCTTTCACTCAAACTGGACACAGGCTGACCTGTATGGATATTTACATCAACTTACTGTGAGGAATTATGATCCTTTGGAGAACTCAAGGTAAGAGTTTAAACCCCGCCGCTTTAGCTCTAGTTGCGCAGCTCTATGTAAACCACAGGAATAACTTGTAGTGAATTCAGAGGTGCGTTGAGAATTATTTATCTTTGTGAACAAACAATTATATGCGGCGTTTACATCTCAACACACTGCCCAGTGTGTGGCTCTGTGTTCCCTGTAAAGTTTATGAGTTCCTGGTTGGTCGGTGTATTAGTTAACGAACTAGCGCTAACCATCATGCA